ATCGGGTTTGTTATCGATTTTTTTATTGATTGTATTAACGATTTTGCTATCGATATTAATATCGCTTTTGTTACCGATATTTTAATCGATTTTGTTATCGATATTGTTACTGATTTTGCAATCGATATTTTCGGAACTTATCGAAATAATGATCAATAGTTTTATCGATTTTGTTATCGATTTTGCTATCGATATTGTTATCGATTTTGCTATCGATTTTGTTATCGATATATTTATCGATTTTGTTCTCGATACTTTTATCGATTCTGTCATCAATATTTTTATCGGTTTTGTTACCGATATTTTTACCGATTTTGCTATCGATATTGTTATCGATATTATTATCGGTTTTATTATCGATATTTTTATCGATTTTGCTATCGATATTGTTATCGCTTTTGTTATCGATATGTTTATCGATTTTGTTATTTATTTTGTTATCGACTTCGTTATCGATTTTGTAATCAATTTTTTGATATGCCGTTTATCCCTTTGGTGGCTAGATTTAGCTACCACATACTTTTTTCCAAGTGTTGGTGCCAGCCAGCGCTGCCGTTTTGCTTAAATTTAAGCAAAGTAGCTTAATATTTTCCTACCTATTAAGATGTTAAATTTTTCGTCGTTTTGCTACATTTTTTTATTAAAATATTCAAAAACCATAATTTTTCTCAAAAATTCATTAATGACTATGAGTCAATTTTCAATAAACTTTTCAATGTTATTTTAGGATCCCATATAAAGTTCCGCGAAATTTTCAAACCTCCGATTTTTTTTGTCATGAAATCGTTCCGCCCATGATACCAAACTCAACGTGCACATTATGTATAACATGATACCAAACTCATTTTATGCACGCATTCAAAAAAAACTAGCGAAAGGGCAGCTAACTATTATAGGAGTATACATATGTTGAAAGCCTGAAAGAATGTGTAGGGAAATGTTTTCAAATTAAGCAACTGTTAGACTATAAAATCCTTACTTTTGACGATAAAACTGAGCCTTACTTACTTGCTTATTTTTTATTTCTATAACCAATTTACCAAGCTTGGCAAGAAAAGCCCAAATTAATTAAATAAGTTTCTTAATTTTTACGGGATTCACCCAATTAGTTGATATATGCGTATCTTATAAACTAATTGACCGATCTGGACCAAATTTGGTACACACATTGTGCTTAGCCTCCTTAAGTACCGTCTTGAATATTTTTGAAATCGGACAAAACCTACTCCTCCTAAACAATAGCTAGCTTTGAGTTTTTTGAAACTATCGTTACGTTGGTGGAGCCCGATTTCAAAAATTTTCAATATGGCGCTAAAGAAGCCTAAGCGTAATGTGTTCCCCAAATTTGGTTGAGATCGGTCAAGTACTTTTTGAGATACACATATATGACATAAGTGGGCGGTGCCACCCCTATTTTCCTAAAATTTCTTGATAAACCACTTTTTTGGTAAAGAGCGATTGTACATACATATCAATTTTGAACAAATATTGATGAACTCCTTAGCCATACTGCTAAAAAAATCTGATATTCCGGTTCATACACATATAAGTTCAAGGCAAAAAAATTCGCCTAAATTCGACAATTTTTATGCGATTGCAATAAGTGAGGTAACAGTTTATTTAAAAATAGATTTAATTTTAGATAGCACTCCATATCTTGATATTGTAGAAATTATCGATGATCAAAATTTAAAAAATTAAGAGAAATGTGGGTCTTTTTTAATTTACCAGATAAAAAACCCCAACAAGCCTAGTCCGACAATAGATTATTATATACCATTTGAAAGGCCTATATATATGTTCGATCTTTGAAATCGCATCAAAACTAGTCATTCAAAACTCATAAATTTGCAAAATCCTATTTGCTGACCTAAATCGACAGGACGCGACCTCTAAATGACCTTTAAAAAATCTATAAAAATAGGAAAAATATTTCTCTTAAAAACGAATAAAATTAGGGGATAGGGTCTTAAAATTTCGAAAAAAGCATTTTCGAAGGGTACCCTTATCTGTACTGTAATGTTTGCTGACTGCACTTGTAGATACTGCCAATATAGAAGTATTACATATATGATAAAACCCAAAAACAACTTTGAAGTTAACAAGTGCATGGAATTTTTAAATTTTTTTGTCAACGTGTCCATCTTTAAAGTGATGTTTTGAAAAAAAAACAAAGACAGCTAGAAAACTGCGGTTTGTTGCATTAAAAAGAGCGTAGCAACTACAATTAGAATCGTTAAAAAATATAAAAAACAATTTTATCTTCGCTTTGAAATGCCGACGGCAAATCACTAATGAGTTTCCCAATTGCATATTTTTCACATATTTAACTATTAGATAACAAATCTACGTTTTGCAATGAAACCATACCCTCGAACAAGAATTTTCATATACTTAACCAAAAATTTTAATCTTTTTAACCGACTTAAATTTTTTTTAAATTTTTTTTATGTATGTTACCGCATAACTTCGGACTAAATTAACCGGTTTCGATAATTTTTTTTTATCGGACTGAGAAAGATTATTTTCTACTTTTTAGTCCATTTTTAAAAGCGTGTTATATTAAAAAGTTTTATTTTTTTTTTTTTNAAACCACATTTCAAACTTCGTACAAAAATTATGAAAATTCAACAAACTTTAACATTTGCACCCGAAAATTTTAAACTTTTAACTCAGAGGTCTAAGTGCAAATTGCAAGACGCTAGAAAATCGCGTTGATTTTTAATAATTTTTTTGGCTCACGGTGTTGTGCATTTTCTTCCATATAAAATATGCTCGACAATTTCCTTTGTCCTAGCACCATCATAAAAAAAAATATTAAAAATCAACGCGATATTCTAGCGTAGTGACCAAAACTAGTCAAAATGTCACTTGAGTTAAACAGCTGACCACAAGTGTATTTCATATAACTTATGTATCAGTTAACTTAATTCGACTTCTCAAACAGGTAGCGCCTCTCCTCAAGAATATTTTTTAGACTAAAAGTTCCTTAAATCTCTTTCATCTGACATTGTGATACATATTGCAATTAACTGCTAAATTAAGTTGAATTTGGTTTATAAACACTTGAAAACCCTCCCAGTTGTAATTAACAAACAAAGCTTTTACCAACCCAGAATAATTTATTTAAATTATTAAATAACTTGAATTTAATTTGTTAAACCAGTGGCAGCCTTATTCAAACACCTCAAAAATATTTTAAATGTTTAAACTAAAGATTTCGTGGCACTCATTTTTAAATATATCATAAACATATCTTGTGGATAAGTTAACTAAATACAAACGTGTGGCAACCCTTTTAAAAAGCATTTTCAAATCGAAATCTTCTTAAATATCTTTTTTCAAGCATTATGATACATATATCAATTAACTGATGAATTGAGTGGATTTTGATTTTTCGACACGTGGAAACCCTCCTAAATAAAGCTTAGATATAAAGCATTTTCAAACCCATTTTTTGTTAATACCAAGGCATATCAAACAAGTATTTAGTAGAATTAGAGAAAAAACAACATTTACGTGTATTTTGGTGTTACTTCTGGTTTACATTACACAAGGCAATTGAGAATATGTGTTAGTTAGTTGTCAAATTGTTTAGTTTAAAGTAGGCGTCCAGACAGTTATAAAAGACAATACACTTTTCAGCGACCGCCGTTAGTGTAGTTTGACGTGAATTTCATATTATTTACTAAGATATCCAAACACAAACCAATTTTTCATAATTCTGCGATGTTTTGCGAAACCTCTTTTTCCCAAATTAACCAACACGTGACCGAATTTTCCAATTTACTGTCCAACACACTGTCTTCGCAAAATCAAATACAGTGATGAAGACAGTTGAGAAGTGTGAAGGTATTAGTAAAAAGTGTGAAAGTTTTGGGATGAAAGATTTATCCGATAACCATTATAAATTTATGTGGGTTTAAATCAAGAAATAGTGCATAAATCGCTAACTTGTCTTCAAAGATCTATATTAGAAAATAGCAGCAAAGTTTTTCATAAGAATTATTAACCCTTAAACCCTTTCCATTGCGGGGTGTTCAACCCTTATTGTAGAAAGTTAGAAGGCTAAAATCTTCTACAAAATGTGAAACAGAAAATTTTATTAGGATTAGGACAAGGCACATTAAACAGATAACAGCATTAGAGAAAAAACCACAAGCTGCGCGCATTTTGTTCTTGACTTTTTACTCTAAAATATGAAAATGGTAAACAAAATTTGACATTGCCTGAGTTGTTTTTTTTTGGCGACGTTCTAATCTAACTTGGTAAATAAAATTTTTTTTTGTGAATGTGACCGTAAAACTAGCTAATAATATCGTTATATATTTAGCGGCAATGGGACCTTCGGTAAGATTAATAGGACCCCAAAAGGAAAGTACATGCAAAGATTCTGTTGTCCCCTAATTATTCCAAAGATTGGCATTTTGTTTGTCTTTATTCCTTGTACTATTAACGGTGTGTTTTCATTACCAGTAAGTTTTTTTTATCAATATTCATTTTATAAATATCCAAATTTTTATGCGCTTGAGTGTTACAACAACCACACCAAGTTGTATAAAAATCAGAGCAAGTTCATCAGTGTTGACGTGTTTTTTGTGATACATATATATTATTATATATATAAATATGTGGAAGTAGTTATATACATACATACATATGTACATATGTATGTTTATAATTACCGTATACATATCTATCCTTGATAATGTTAGGACAAATGTTCATCAACAAAGTTAAGTTCATCATTAGAAAAATCGATGGCAAGTAATTTCAAATGTAATAGCAGTTTACTTTGTAATTTCCACATACATTTGTACACATGTACAGTGAACATGGAAATATGTATTCATTTGTGTTCTGCCTTTTTCTCATTATTTTAATTTAAATATAAACTACATCAATTACAAGAAACTCTTTAATGAGAAAGAAACACATTTAATAAGAAAGAAACAATTTTGCTCATTTCCTTTGTAAAAAATCGTGAAACGTATACTCACAAACATTAATATTTTGGTTCGTTTGACCAGTGGCAATACTTGTAAATGATAGTATTTTCAATATTATGAAAATAGAATATAACCGTTTACAACTGGATTTGTGCATTATTCAATCAACAGTAAATACATATGAATGTATATGTAATATTTGACACGAATAAAAATCTAACCGCACTCGCGAAAGGATGAAGTTGTACTACTTCGTACTTCAGAATTTAAAAAACTGGACATTCGACAGGAAATGACGCTTAATGCTCATTCAAAGTGCAGTCAATATTGTGCTTCCAGTTTATTTCCGTTTTGTTTTATTGTTGAATATTTCATTAACTTATACGAATGTGTGCATAGTTAGTATGTGTGTATGTATGAATTTATGAGTTTGGGCTTACCCTACAGTCAAATATACTTGTTCCGAATTTTCACACCAGACGTTTTATTTTATTTAAGGTTTACCAAATGAACATATTTAGATGGCGATGTCTAGAGGTAAGAGGGAGACGAAACATTGAAGCTTTATCACGTTTTATCAGTTTTCAGATAACTTGGTGCGCCAGAAATGATTAATTTTAAGGCTTATTTTTGTATTACTCAAAGCAGAAGCGCCTATAATGAATAAGAGATCGGAATTTGATATCGAAATAATGTCGATAATGATTTACATTTACATAGTACATATATCGATAATAATATCAAACAATATACATATGGTATCGATAATTATAATATTGAGGTCGATAATGTTTTCGACCAATATGTATGTATACACATTTAATGTTGCCTTTTTTTGCCTTTTTTTATATTTGCCTTTTTTGCCTATTGTACATTTAAAAAAGTGATTATAGCGAAGAAAAAGCCCTTATTCCTGATAATATAAAAGTTTCAAACGTAGTATATTTAAATCGGGCTTTTTATCAACTCACGTCGAGCGCACGTTTAGTACATCCTGTGTAAAAGCCTGTCCTGTTACAAAAAAAATCAAGTAAATAATGAAGAAAATCGAAGGATAAATAAAGAAGTAATAAGTGGTCATATGAAAATGAGTAAAGATTTTTTGTATGAAAAATGAGCAGGAAAGAATGTTACTCATACGCCATGTACACCTGAAAATATCTCGAAAACTTATCCATAGAAAAAAAATTAACTCGATTTTCGGAATTAGCGAGCAATTCTATATAGGAATTGGATATGTAGTGGCGTCCGTTGAACATTTTTCCTGTAAGCCAGTATTATTTTTCAGTTTTTGTCTTTTTTAGTGCCTTTTCCTGCCTATTTCGCTATTTTATTTTGCCTTTTTTATAGGTTAGGGCCTGGTGATAGTGTTCACAGATCCGTATTACAATGAATTCTCACGAGAACGCCCTGTATCATTTTCATGGCCGTTGTGACAAATCACCACTGAGACCAAACAAATAAAACAGATCACTAAATGAACCAAATGTTCATCTAAATCATATTTTTTATCGGAGAATATAAGCATAATATCAATAAATACAAAATACAAAATATTGAAAACATTGTAATCGGTAAATATATCCACGATATATGTAAATAGTTACATATGTACTTTGTTGAACGGCTATACACCTAAGAAACTAGTAAAGACCTCGTCGGACTAGCTACTAAATGCCTAGAGACTAGTATGCGGTATGACCGGTTTACAAATACTCTCCTAATAGATACATGCATACGTATGTTTGTATTAATGTACAAACGTTTTCATACCTACATATTTATGTGCATGTGGTAATCCATTCATGACTTTGTTTATCATTCCTCTAATATCTGTACACGTATGGCCGTATGCATACATACATATGTACATATATACATATTCATGAACATATTTACCCAGTGTTGCCGTTGATAACTTTCAGAAAGTCGCAAAAAGGGGTCTTTGACGCAAAAAGGGTCACCATATTTTGTAGCTTTTCTTTACTAGCAAAAGAATAACAGGCCGATTCTTAACAGAAACTCTCTGGGAGTTCCCTCTCTTTTCCCTTTCCTTCTATCACGAATAAAAATGTCCTGAGGATATTTTATATTAAATGGCAGAGTTGAGCTCTCAAAAAAGTGTGTCAAACAGCTTTTTCGAAGTTCGAATTTCCTTCTATTGGAGGATTTATTTCTGGGGAGAAATCAATTCCCGGAGAACAAACTCCCCGGGAGTATTAAGAATTGGGCGGTAAATCTGTTGAATTTAAAAAGAAAATAGCGGGACAAGCGTTGCACAAAACAGGGTTGCAAACATACACATAAATCTTGTTGCTGCTATGAGAAGAGATGCATTTCCATGAAACTTTTTAAGTGATGCATTTTTTGGTACTTTTAGGAGGAAATATTTTTTAATAGCATGGTTCTGTTGACATTTTCTAAAATAAATCTCTGAAAGGGAGCAAAAGTCGCACATAATTTTGGAAAAGGATCAAAATTT